TTTGAAGCATCTACCAAGATTTGTGACAGTTACTGACATGCATATTAATCCGTGTGACAATTTAATAACGGGGGGGGGGGGGAGGGGGGCTCCGGTGCCTCCTTTGCAGACGCCACATACTCTCACGTATTCCTAATCGAGTGACCTTTAGAAAACACGCATGACTTCAGCTCTCCTATCTTCCGCCCAACACAGCCTGCACATGGGCGTAACCTGGATCAGAGGGGTAAGAGGGGTATATAATAAGCCTGCACTGGTATCAGAGGGGTAAGAACCCCAGAACCCTGGGGGGGGGGGGGGGGGGCACAAGGTCTGACTCCAGCAACTTTTATTTTTACGCCACAGAATCAGCATTCGACACCAGCAATTTTTTAAATTTTCATTTTCTCGACGGACCTTACTGTCCCCGTTGAAACCTGGGCGACTTTTGGAGAATCAATCGTCCACATCAAGGAAGCGACGATGGAGACACGTCGTATGTTTACAGAATGCAATCAAGAGCTTGGGTACGCATTCAAAACCAGAGACACAGAAAGGACAGCGTCCCAGTCCTACATCGCCTAAAGCGTAACTAGCCAGCATTCCCAAACGGGACCCACATGGGCTGAACGTGGGTAAACTGGGTTAATGTGGGCATGGGCTACAGGTGGGCTTTTAACTGGGCTTCAGCTGGGTCTCACATGGGACGTCCACATCGTTTTATATTTTTGTATGCACCAGAAATGTTCGCGCCTTGTACTTTTCCGCGGGAATCTATCACGGCAAGAAGAAATAACTCACCAGGAGGGAATGTTTGCATTGGTGGGATCCATGTGGGCCATATCTGGGCGAGCTGGGCTCATGTCAACTTGGGCTCCCGGTGGGCTGGTATCTAGGCCTAATCTGGGGCTCAGATGGGCTGCCCATATGTTACATGCGCAATCAAACGTCCCAGTCCTACATCGCCTTATACATATATCTACCATATTCAGAAAACGCAACCATCTGTAGGTCACTCGTAGGTAACAGCCGATTTGGTCTCGTGATAACCTTCGAAGTTTCTCAATTAATAAGACTCGCCCTAACAAGTGCGCAACAATGAATAGCCTGATCATACATCATAGTAGGTCATACATGTCATCATGTACATCATAGTAAGAAGATGAAGAGTCCGGACCATTACAGGAGCGAAATTCGGTACGAATGGCACATAGGTAACATAATTTGAATAGGTCGTCGCTTGATGTATTCAATACACAGAGGGTGAGGACATAAGGTCAGACACCTCCGGCATACAATTGTGTGCAAATCTGCATGATTGATGCACTCGCACAGCGCTTATCATGAACATTTATGTCGGATGACATCGGGGCTGATTGAACTCCGTAACCAACCGAGTGGTTTATGCCCTTGGTTCACAATGTAACCAGCTTTGTTTTTTTTACCTCAGAGGCGGCTGCGGATATGCGGTATTGCCTTGTGAGGTTTTAACTTTAGTTCTTCTAGATAGTTGGCCAACACTCGTAGCAAGGCGTTGCCTGCAACGCAACGACGTTGCAACGACGCTCAGATCGATTAACGTCGAAATCTTAACACAGACTCCAGCCGGGAGGTACGATGAAACTTGGCCGGGAGCCATACTCGAACCTTGCTTGAAAGTGCAAGCGAAGGAACGGACAGGAAATATTTAAATTGCAGGCCCAGCAAATATCTGCAGAAAAGTACAAACAAACGCTGTGCAACGCGAGATATTTGGGGACAATCAGCTGACTTGCGTATAAAGGCATGGCGTCATGGCGCACCTTCGCGCCACATACGCGCAAAGTGAGGCGCCTGGGTTTGTTGTGTCACGTCTCGCGGACCGCTCTCGTGGAAAGCTGCCTTAACATTGTATCCATTGCTCCTGCTTGCTCCTGCAGGTACCTATTCCCTGAGTGTTTTGTTATGCAAATGTTATTACGGGTTAGGGGATGGCCACGTGAATTTAATCATGTGTTGGTTTAATTTATAGTCTTGCCCGTTTTACGTGAGATTGTGGGCAGAGTGGGAATGTGCAAATCAAAGAAAAAAACACCATCTGTGATTGCAAACGTATGTCATCCGAGGATATGACATGGAATGTGTTGCCTTGCTGTTCTTCTCAAATCACCAAGTTCCATGACTAGCTGCACATGTGATGCATTCAGTAGAAGTTCTTGGATGATGGACAGGTACCTGTTTCAGTTTTGCACAACCCCAGTCTCTGTAAACAGTTTCTGGAAGTATAGGTGGCATGGAAAGGTGATGTGGAGTGTGTTTGGCAAGCATGGTGTATTAGCAATCATCAGCACTCGTGCCAGACATTGGGGATGTCCCTGGCTGGGACATGTTCAATCAAGTTTACTGAAATTTAGATGACCAGATGTGTAGGAAAGCTTCAACTCTTGATCATAACAGCTTGTGTGGTAATTGGGATAAATCTGGGGGTGATTCACACTTTGACTGCCACAGCACTTGCATCAAAATTCAAAGATGATCATGGTTGTCGGAACTAGCTGTAACAAGATGCGTAATTTTGTATGTAATAATGTTGCCACTTTCCACTGCTCTGACCTAATAGCATGGAAAGCAACCATATCATTGTAATGTTTTGGATGCTGGTGTCATGCATTTGCTAATCCCATATGGACAACAAAATATGGTAGCAGCAGTCTCAAGAGGATTGAACACTGCTTGTCAATAGGTAAAGCCATATATGATCTACTATTAACTCATAGCAAGTGCACAATTTGGATAAGGGGCATGCTACCAGTTATGGTAATGCACTGCAATTTGGAACCTTTGCATTGAATGCCTAGGTACCAAACCCAGATGTACAAAACAATAATCTGTTGCTCTTTACACTGATAAATATTGAACTAAAATATTAATGAGAAAGCAAACTCAAGGATTGAAATACAAAATCACTTTCTGATCACAGCATATATAACATCCCAGTAAAAAAGCTATTATCTGGGTTGGGATGAAAAGAAATTGTTGCATGGAGGCCTAGCTGGGATTGCAACATATTTTCAGAATCCTTGAAATGCTATTGCTACAAGGGAATCTGCACCCCAAAAATTTTGGCAGACACTTTGTTCTGTTTTTTATGATCAGTCATTGAAATATTTTATCAGTAATTCTGCTTCATCAAGACAAAGCTTAATGGTCTCCATTTAACAAACTTGCAGCTACCAGTACTTTCAAATTGCTCCCACTTAATTATATATATAATGGAGTATGTAACCTTATGCAGCATACTCAATGAGATTGACATTGACACTGTGATGATAAAAGCTTGGGTTTGGCTGCTACACCCTGGACAATGTGTCAAGGCTGTTTGTCATTTTATTGGGCTGGCAAAGGGATTGACCTAGAATTTAGGCATGCTTGTGGTATCCAGCTGCACTTTTCAGCTTTGAAACACCCCTCAGTCATGACTGGTGGAAAGTAAACAAGTCTGCTGACTTGTCATCCTGTTTTCACTTGTTCAGCTCAAGACATGTTTAGCAAACTTGCTTTAGATATAGTTGAGGTATTATCCCTACATTTTAAAGATTTTTTTCTCATGAAATGTTGTTATGAACAAGATGTGGTCAGGCTAAGAACCATATTCATGCATCCAGTCCCATGAAATTGTCCTTAGCTGACTCACAGTGCATGGGAGATAGTTACATATGTGACTCTGAGCAGTCACCACCATTGGATCTTTCCTTCACTGGCTCAAGGATTTGTGCACCAAGTCTGGAAACAGTTCTGATGAGCAGGTGCCAGTGACAGAAACACTGGGAGCAAAATGTTTATGGGTCCCAAAAAATAAAGTGTTTGGAGAACAGTTCAGGACATTGAGATATAAATGGTATTCCATTTGCCAGTTATATGGGGGCTGTCAAAATAAGACACCTCATTACATAGATTTTTACTTTGGTGACTGTGGCTCACACTAATTTTAGTTGATTTAATCCATCTCAACTCAGCATATGTGTGGTTGGTTCTGGAGCTGACTCGCAAGGGATCAAGCACAAGTCAGCAATTTAAGAACCTCGTGGGTGAGCCTTTATATGCAGCTATAAGATACCCCCAGTCATGATTGCCTAAAGCTCAGAAAAACAGCATCTGTTCATCTGGTACCACACCATTTTGCTAATGAGCCTGAAGGTACATGTAACAAACTTGCATTAGATGCATTGAGAGCCTTTACTCACGCATTGAAGGATCTGTTATGAAAATATTGCTGTGGATGGCAATGGGCTCAGTTGAAACCAGACTTCTGCTGCCAGTATGGCGCATATGGATAGATGAAATATGGAGATCTAGACTAAAGGACCTTGCACAGGACAAAAGGTCATGGATGCTTACAAAAATCTTCATGTTGGTTGATATCACATGACAAAGACCATATGTCACAGTATAGATTGCATGTGTATTGATGCATACACAAAGTGGTGCTCAGGTCATAGTGCTTCAAAACTAGTCATAAATGGGTGAACATTTAGTATAATTTTGGTGGCTTGTCTTCTCTGATAATGCTCAAGCATTGCTCCCATCATTTTATCATTTCTCTAGGTGTTTTTCTATGTGCAGTGTTTGTTTTAGTGTGCTGCTTGTAATACATAGCAATGATATGAAACTGTAAGAACCACTTTTTGAGTAGTTTCCAATAGACAGATCCTTAATTGTTTTTCTCTGGCAAACAGGACAAAGAAAGTACATGTTTCTATAGATTTCAGAAGTTACACCACATTTCTTCCTACTCGGCCGTCATGCTGACGCCAGTAATTATCTGAGGGTTAACTACTATTTGGTAAGCAATTTGATCCTCATTGCTGACATCCGTGACATCCGCAGACATCTCCAGTGCGTACAGCCTAGCAGTGATGATATAATCAATTTTCAACCCGCTGATATTGGCATTATCCCTTGCAGTGCATAGAGCCTACCCAGTCTGCCCTGTCGCAGCTGCAGTGACTGGTTGCAGTATCCAACTGCACTGTCTGGCTGCAGCATCTGACTGCAGTGTCTGCCTGCAGTGTCCAACAGCAGTGACGGCTGCAGTAGCTGACTGCGGTATCCAGGTGCAGTGCCCGGCTGCAGTGACGTCTGCAGTATCCAACTGCAGTGTCCAGCTGCAGTGCCCGGCTGCAGTGTCTGGCTGCAGTAGCTGACTGCATTGTCCAGCTGCAGTGCCCGGCTGCACTGCCCGACTGCATCGTCGCGCCCCGGCCCTGCCCGGCCGCCATGGGCAACACGGACGACGCCAAGGCGGACGAGGCGCAGCTGGTGCGCTCGGAGAGTGCCGCCCAGGGCAGCAGCAGCAAGGACGGCCTCGACTGCGTGGCGCTCAACATCATCTACAAGAAGCAGAAGCTGCAGGTGCAGGCGGCGCTTGATGACACGGTCGAGGCGCTGAAGAAGCAGCTGCATCCGCTCATCGGTGAGCCGTCTGACCGGGTCAGAGGGGGGGGGGGGGGGGGGCGGGGCGACCGCGTGTGCCGCTGGGAGAGACGCCCGCGTCCCGCGCTGGTGCAGAGGTGTCGGGTGTGAGTGTGGATGTCCGCGCGCCAGAGCGCGACGGTAGGAATGCGCGGCCGGAGCGGAGTTACCATGCGGTGTGTGTGCTTGCGGGGGGGGGGGGGGGGCTGGCTCAGGTGGAGGCGGTAGGAGACTGGCTCAGATGGAGGCGGGGGGGGGGGGGGAGGGGGCTGGCTCAGGTGGAGGCGGGGAGGAGGTTGGCTCAGATAGAGGCAGGGGAAAGGGGGCTGGCTCAGAGGGAGGCAGGGCAGGAGACTGGCTCAGATGGAGGTGGGGGGGGGGGGGGGGCTGGCTCAGGTGGAGGCGGAGGAAGGGGAAGGGGGCTGGCTCAGGTGGAGGCAAGGTAAGAGGCTGACTCAGATGGAGGCAGGGAGGAGGTTGGCTCAGGTGGAGGTGGGGAGGAGGTTGGCTCAGATTGAGGCTGGGGGGGGGGGGGGGGGGGGGGGGGGGGCGCTCAGGTAGACCGGCGCCGTTTGGCCGCCGTGCCTCGGTCTGCGGTGCCGGCCAGCTGCTGCCCCTCGCTAAGTGTTGGCTCGGGGTGCCGGCTCAAACCAACTGTAAACGAGATGTTTCGCCCCAAGTCACGTGCATGTAATTGGGGAAAACCGGGACATCTGGCAAATATGGCTGAAATCAGAACTAGTCTGGGAGCATGAACCCAAGCACGGAATATCGATGCCACTAAATGCGAAAGTGACCGTGAGATCCCTCGACCTTTCAGTTGGGCGGCTGTGGGCCGTAGACTGTTTTAAGAGTTCGTGAAGCTGGCATTGGTTAACCTGTTTGGGGACCTGTACTGCTGACTGGTCTGTAGCCTATGCTTGCCCTGTCCAGCTGACCTGTCTGTGACCTGTGTGTGGCCTGTACAGCTGACCTGTTTGTGACCTGTTCAACTGAGTGGTGTGTTTCCTGTGCGGCAGACGTGTCTGTGACGCGTGCAGCTGAACTGTATGTGACCTGTGCAGGATATGTGTCTGTGACCTGTGCAGCTGAATTGTCTATGCCATGTGTAACCTGTACAGCTGACCTGTTCATGACCTGTTCAACTGACCTGTGTGTTTCTTGTGCAGGATATGTGTCTGTGACCTGTGCAGCTGAACTGCATGTGACCTATGCAGCTGACCTGTACATGACATGTGCAGGTGACCTCACTTTGACCTGTGCAGTTGATCTGTATGTGACCTGCACAGCTGACTTATTATGTGACCTATGCAGCTGACCTGTACATAACATGTGCAGCTGATCTCACTTTGACCTGTGCAGCTGATCTGTATGTGACCTGTGCAGCCGACCTGTATGTGACCTGTGTAGCTGACCTCTCACGTGACCTGCCACCAGATGTGCCACCCAGCATGCAGAAGGTGATGATCAAGGGCCTGGCCCGGGACGACAAGACTCTGCGCGAGCTGGGCGTGGCCAGCGGTGCCAAGGTCATGGTGGTCGGCTCCACGCTCAACGACGTGCTCTCGGTGGCCAAGCCAGAGGCCAAGGTGAGACTGCGCCCTCCCTATCTGTGTGTGTGTGTGCGTGCGTGCGTGCGTGCGTGCGTGCGTGCGTGCGTGCGTGCGTGCGTGCGTGCGTGCGTGCGTGCGTGCGTGCGTGCGTGCGTCGGGAGAGAGCGAAGGGAGCTGGCTAGGCAGCCATTTCGAGTGACTCAGCTTCGTCGGCTGGTGGCTGTACTCTAGCAAGGCGCGGTGCGAGAAATCATGTGTCATAGTTCAGCCTGGCGGAAGGGTTGGAGACAGTCACCTGTTTGTATAGCCTCCTATCTTGGGTGATGGGATATACAGTGGCATCCCATGCGATGTGCGTACATTGAAATGAAGTATGCGTCATTATGCACCAACCCAGCATGCACACACCTCAAGTCACGGATAACCCGCGCGAACCACTCCACCTCTTGGGTCGTCGTGGGGCCGTTCCCCGGCTCGAACTGTCGCCAGCATTGTAAGCTGTGGCGTTCGGCGCGGCATCCATTGTTTGCACAGGTGTCGGCTGCGCCCAAGTTCAGCCACCTGTCTTCCGGGGTCACAGCGGGGTCACATGGTCGGCGGTCCCTCAGCTGGGGTCAGCGGGGTCACATGGTCGGCGGTCCCTCAGCCGGGGTCAGCGGGGTCACTGGCGTTAGGTCGCTGTCGGCGGGCGTTCCGTTTACGTACGGGCTGAAGTTGGCCAGGCTTCCCGAGGGGAGGAGGGGTGGGGGGGGGGGGGGGAGGGGAGGGCGAGCGGCGTGCAGGGCATGTGCGATGTTGGGACAGAACGAGGGACCAAAAAAGGTGTGTTTATGACTGGCGCCGGAAGTAATATACTAAGCTTTCCGATAGATTCGTGTGGTGCAGAAAATTATCTTCGACAATCCAGTGGGGCTAAAATATTGGAGACAATTATCTGTTGACCAGAATCACCGTTTTGGCGGACGGGGTTTGGAGTCCTCACCATGCATAGCGTGCATGCTTGTACATTAACTATACACCATGCATACGCTTGGCGCGTGCGCATCACGAGTCCTAAACGACCTGTGCCCGCTTCCTACCTCTAAACCAGCTTCTAAACTAAACCCACCGCCTCTTCAGGGCTGTGGCGGGGTCGCGCCTCAGCCTAGATGATCGTCGTTACTATGGCAACGCGTTGTCGCCTCTCGGTGTTCAGTTGTTGAAGCAGCGCTGGTGTTGCAGAGTTCTAAAGAGGAGGCGAAGGCCGAGGAGCCGGACAAAGAGAAGCTGTGCGAAATGAAGCAGCACAAGAAGATCCTGGACAAGGGCAAGCCGGACGACGTCATGCCCGGCAACAGGAACATCAACGTGAGTGGGCGGAGGTGGTCGGCTGTACTGGGGCCCCAGTTTGCCCGCCTGTCGGTCCCAGTCGACCGCAGTCGGGAGGAGGAGCGAGTCTGATAACTGTTAGAGCCTGGCGTTCTGGCCTGATGTTCTCGAATGTGTGGAGATCTGTGTTGCGGTCATGCCGGAGTGGCATGAATGGAGGCAAGATGAAGCGATGATGACGAACGGCGAGCAGATCTAAGGGAAAAGACCTGCAGATTTTCTATGCCATTTGCCGTCATACCCTCCCCCTTTCCCAGCTGCCTTACAGAGAGCCACCTGGTGTCGACCCGTCATAAAACTTTTCGGTCTCTTTCGCGTTTCGGCGCTTTGCGTGGTGGCTCGCCTCCCCCCCCCCCAAAAAAAAACCCAGCTAGGCTACACCTGAGGGCGGCATTTGGACGGAATGCTGGGCCCTGTTCTCTCTGCTCGGCTTCCGTTATGGTCGTTTCATCTTCTCCACGTCCTGGTCAGTGGGCGTGATCAGATCACCTTTTCACGGAGCTAGACAGCCACTCCCAACTCAACTTCATCAAGATCCCCGCATACTGAGGAGGAGGCTGTCCACCAACTGAGGTGTGGAGTGCGAAATGACCGCGGCCGTCGACGCTCCCAGAATCCCAAATAACGCCCTGAATCCTAAATAACAAACAACTGAGGCGTATTGAGTTTGTCTTCCAGACGGTCGCGCGCTGGGGCCCATAATGACCCTCGTAGTCGGCGCGTTCTAAAACGCCAGTCATCATCATCACCGACGTGGTCCCCAGGAGCCGCTGCCGCCGACGCCGCTGTCCGGCATGCTGAACCGCACCGGCGGCAAGGTGCGGCTCACCTTCAAGCTGGAGTCGGACCAGCTGTGGATCGGCACCAAGGAGCGCACCGAGAAGGTCTCCATGTCCAGCGTCAAGGCCATCGTGTCGGAACCCATCGCCGGCTACGAGGACTACCACATCATGGTGAGCGCGGCGGTGGCATCGCAGCGTGGTGGTGAGCAGGCTGCGCGCTCTGCTGCGGCGTGGTGAGCGGGGCAGCAGCTCCGCCCGTCGTAGTGAGCAGGGCAGGGGCGCTGCTGCGTCAGTGGGGATTTACGATGCACGATGCCGGTGAGGCTAGTTTGTGGTGTCACCTGCCTCTCACCCCGAGAAAGCGAGGGGGGGGGGGGAAGGGACTACGTCGGGATTCGACCTTCGTGTCGCTGGGTTTCCAGACACGCGGCTCAACCACTGCACTATCGGTGTCATGCGGTGTCACCCAGTGCCGTGCCATGGTAAGTGGTGTCAGCGCACTGCCGTGTCATAAGGAGCTCGGTGGCAGCACTGATGTAGCGTGGTGAGCACGAGAGAAGCACCGTCATATACGATGAGCGTGACGGGGGTGCCGTCACGTAATTGTGAGCGCGGCTGGAGCACTGTGACTGAGCAGGGCAGGTGCACTGACATGGTGTGATGAGCTATGGTGAGCATGGTGGTGGGATCATCATGCTGTGGTGAGTGATGCATGGGTTTACACATGGTGAGCACGGTAAGACTAGGGTCACGGCCGCTGAGCCGTGGGAAGTACAAAGGTAGCCCGGGGCATATACCGCCGAAGATGACCGCGGCGAAAGCGTCGCGTTGTTTTGGTCGCGGTGGTAAGACTGCCCACATTAGAGAAGCCTGCGGCCGCGCTGTTGCTTGCATTGATGGCAAAACGAGGTCTGTCCGGCCCGGGCGCCGACGGTGAGCACGCGCAGTGATCAGAGTGAGGAGGAAGGGCCCGGTGCCCTCGGGCCTTCGCTCCGGTGCACCGCTCGTGCTGGCGCAGCGTGAACGGCGTCGGCTCTTGCCGGGGACATTGACCGCTTGTGAGCTGTGTGTGCCGTTCTAAGACCGTTTGCGGTGTGCTGCTGTGACTTTTTTTGTTTTTATTGCACGGCTTTACGTCGGTATTGGATTTGGGCCTCTGTGTCGGTGCTGAACGTGGTGTACCTCGAAGGCCGTGTCTTGCGGCTTCACCGGCGATGCGGTCGTCATACGCAGCCGGTCCATTGCGGCAGGACGACTGTGGACCGAAACGGTTTTTTCAGCGGGTCATGCGTCTGGAGCGCGCGGCCGTGGATCACGCTGCTCGTCCGCTCTGTGCGACGGGTGTGACTGCGGGACCCGTGGCGGCCCTTGGGGTCTAGGTCCGAGTCAGAGGTCAGTCGGGTCGGGGTGTCATGTGCTGACGCTGTCCGCATCCTCACAGGGTGTGCAGCTGGGTCCGACCGAGGCGTCGCGTACTGGGTGTACTGGGTGCCCGCCCAGTACGTCAGCGCCATCAAGGACATAGTGCTGGGCAAGTGGCAGTACTTCTGACCGCGCGGCGGCCCGCCTGCAGGCTGTCGTTCGTCCGTCTGGCAAGAGATGGCGCCAGCGGTGCGGTGCCCCGCAGCCTCTGAAGTGTATTTTTGTACGTTTGTAATGTTCTGACGCCGCCGTGTGCACTGTACAGGGGCGGGGGCGAGCGGGCTCTGGTTTTGTTGCCGAGTGCGGTTATTGTGGTGAGCCCGTGCCGGGGTCGGCCGGCCGGCCGGCCGGCGGGCCGGCAGGCGGTCTGCCCCCACCGCCAGGTGTGTTTGAGTGTGGAGGTCACGGTGCAGCCGACAGACTGCCGAGCGGGGTGACGGTGGGTGGCGGGAGAGGATCGCCGGTCCCACTGACGACAGTCAGACACCCTCGACGGCAGCTCGCGCTCGGCGAGCGGCGTGCAGCATCGCCGCTCGAGAGATGAGAGGCGGCGTCGAGCGGCGCCACGCCGCGGGAGGCGCCGCCCTAACGTGAGGGCGCGGCGCTGACTACGTCGTATCGGCACTGTGGCGAGAGCACTTTCAACAGGACGACGTTTGCGTGCTTTGAACCGAGGCGGCACCGTGCGCGCACCGGGCTGTTGGCGTGCTGGGAGATGAAGCTCCTGTGGACGGCGCGACGTCTCCGCGTAGTTTTACCCGCTGACCGTGTGTTGTGGGGCCGGCCGGAGCGGGCGGCGGGCCGAGTCGCCGCGCGGCGCCGGCTGTGAGCCAGCGGCACCCGTGCTCCGTCTGTAATATACCATCTGCACTAATCATTCGTCTGAAGGCCAGATTCGTGGGGGAGGAGATTGTTTGCACCTGCGCACAACGCCATTTCACGTCATTTCGGAATCACGACCTCGGAAAGTACCGCGAGCCTAGTCTTTAAGCCTAGTCTTAGTATGAAGCTCGCGCGCGTCCTGTAGTTTTGCCAGCCTGTTGCTGCGGGCTAATTTTGGCGGTGGTGGGTGGCCAGCTGCGTCGTAGTTGTGCATGTCCGAGTCGGATCCCCACAGCTCCACGCCCTTCATAAATAATATTCAACGGTCGAGGTAATCGAGGTGCTACGATTTCGAGAGGGTCTTAAAGACCAAATATAACGCGGTCGGCGAGAGTCAGACAGAATTCGCTGGCGATGCATTGCATGAGAAAACCAACCATGTCGAAGCTTGGCGTACACTGAGGGCGGACAAAATTCTGTCCAAAATGTACGGCGCGTAACTTTCACCATAGGCCGGCTGGAGCGATGCTTCACCTGCTTGAAATACGATGGCAGTAGCGCTGTGCCGCCAGACCTTGTGTTAGTTGATTGCCCGCATTCAGATTTGGCTCAATGCCGCAGTCGGCGGAGAAAGCCGTCGGTTGCCATCCGATCTCGACATATTTCTCTGGCAGGTCTTGGCATAGCGTATCAAATTTCTCGTTCTCAAAAAAAGTTATCGATCTGATCTTCAGGGCTCTTCCCTCAAAATGATGACCAATGGTTTGACGCCTGCATCAGGTACGGTCATTTGGGCAGCGCACGTGTATGCGCAACGCTCTGTTCAAATAAAACAATCAGAGAACCTCCACAAAATTATGAGCATGCTTTCGCGTAAGGTGTCGCATTTGCCTGCCCCAGTCTTTTCCGAGCGAAAACAGCGCTGCGCACTGTGCTTAGAACATCAAGTTTTTCAATGTTGTTAATGTTTCACGATAGCGGTTCAGGTCAACTCGTCCAACAAGGTCCGTAGTTACTGGCACTTGCTTTTAAAGTAATGACCAGTGCAACAGAACAAACTGCAGCGAACTTCTTCTTTACTGCGTCCTTTATTTCTGCACAACACCGCTGAATATCAAAAACGCATGGAATTGATCAGGACACAACACGATCCAGACTTCTGCCATCGGCTGGCCGGCGCGCCGCTGTCATGCGGCGCAATGCAGGGCTGAACGCGGCCACACCACCACAGCCCGTTGAGAGAAGAGGCCCCGGCACGCCGCCTGGTGAGCCCCGCAGCTGCAGCACGCCCCTCAGTCCAGCTCCACTATCTCCGGCTCACTGTCGTCGTCTGCGGCGGCGGCGGAGGCGGGGGCGGCGGCGCGGGCGGGGGCGGGGGCGGGCGGACCCTCCCGGAGCAGGCGCAGCGTGAGCGCCGCCAGGAAGCCGGGCATCGAGTCCTGCCGGTACAGGTGCTCCTCCACCAGGTCGGACAGCGCCGCCGAGAAGTCCGTCTCCAGCAGCTGCAGACTGTCTCCCGCGTCTCGCTGTCGGGGCAAGAAAAACGACCGCCAGGTGAGCATACTGACGGCAGACAGCTGACGACGGCAGTCAGCTGAGCACGCCGGCACAGGACAGCTGACGACGGCAATCAGCTGAGCACGCCGGCACAGGACAGCTGACGACGGCAATCAGCTGAGCACGACCACACAGCCGGCTGGCTTTGATCGGTGGCAGGCATCATAACGCAATACGACGTACATTCTCCAAACATCCCTCTCGCCATGACTGCGTGGTCTGGACCAGCGGGTTCGAAACACACACCACTGAACGCAGCACGCCCAAAGCTGAGCGTAACGTGAACGCCCCAGTTGCTCACACCTCGCAGCCGCAGACAACGGAGGCAAACACAGCAGCTTTCACATCCTCTGCTTTAAGGCTACGGTGGCGCCATCTCCCCAACGCCTGCCACCCGCCGGAGCCAACCGAGGCCGACCGGCAGCCCGTGGCGGCCGCTCTCCGCGGGCCCGCCGGCAGCGGTTGCGGCGCGCGCTCACGTTGAAGAGCAGGGTCTGGTCGTGGTTGGGCGCGTACACGCTGCGCAGCTTCAGCTGCTGCCCGTCGGCGTTGATCTTGTAGCCGGTTAGCTGGCACACAGCCTGGCGGTACTCCTGCGTGCTGCGGCCGAACACGTCCTTCAGACGGCGCATGCGCAGCTCAGAGGCGCGGAGCTGACTGCGCAGCGCTGCGGACGGCCGGGCAGGGGTCAGCCTAGGGCGGGGTTCGCGTGTCGGCAGTCTCAAATGGAACTCAGTGGGAGGCAGAGGTGGTCAGCAGTCAGCCCAGGGTCAGTTTAGCGCGATCCCAATCTGGTTTGAACATCCTAAAGCCAGGACGATATCATGTCAGGCGACGGTGGAAATTAAAGATCCCTACCAGTTATCCACACTTGGTGCTTTGATACCAATGCCGCTCCGAACAAGGCGGATAGCCGGGCATGAGCGTGAAGCAACTGAGCCGGTTTTGACTTCACAATGACTACTTCCATCACCTTTGAGTCAGTTTTGTCACATATAGTTTTGTTGTGCAACATGACCCTGAGTTTCCAAGACATCCGGACATCTCCAAATACTCAGGGCAATCAGTGTCCACACTTCACGGCTATTCCCCGACAGTCGGGCCACTAACAGACCCCACGATCACCCCGCCGCGCGCGCCGTCCGCAGCCCTCTGCGGGATGGACCGCCACCGCCCGTGCGCTTCCTCCGAAGCCGCGCCTGGCCGAGCGACGCGCCAGCGCCGGCCTCGGCTGGAGGCGACCCGCTCACCCCTGATCTGAGTGGTCGCCTCCTGGTTGGCGAGCTGGCCGGCGGCGGCGCCACCGTCGGCCAGCCGGCCGCGAAGCTCGGCATTCTCGCGCTGCAGCCGCTCCAACTGGCCGGAGCGCTGCGAGCCCGCTGCCGCCGCCGGGTTGTCCCTGCCGCCAGGTCAGGCGGGTCACCGTGGGGCCAGGGCTCGCTCTGCGGTCACGGCATGGCCGCTACAGGTGCACGGTTCTACCTGGGGCCGTCCAACGATAACAAGGCGAGACCCTCCCATTTCCAGTCAAGACCGGGTCACCACACCCTCCGTTCGACTCGGAACTTGGCCGGTCGAGGGTGAGTCCCACATGGCATTGCCGCCTGGGTGACTGGGTGTCATACAAACCACGCCCCGAAACAAGGGACACCTCACAACAGCTCGCGTCGTAACATTCCCAGCCGCCCTGAACACAAACGTACAGCGACCACGACTCGTCCTGGACAAGCGGCACCGGCTCGCGCCGCTCCCGACCCCACCCGGCCATGCTGTCTCTTCGCCCCGGCCAGTCCCCCGGCTGGCGCCGCCGCCGCCCAGCGCCGCCGCCGACCAGCGCCACCCCACCTCAGCGCCAGCACGCGCGTCGTGGCCGGGTTGTAGTCGCCGCGCAGCGCGCGCTCCTCCAGCTGCGCCTCGAGGCCCTCCTTCTCCTGCTGCAGCGCAGCCAGGCGCTCCTGCAGCCGCTCCAGCTCGGCCCGCGCCGCCGAGAGCTGCGCCAGCGCCTCCGAGTCGGCCGAGCCGAACACCAGCTGACGGCGCGCGGGCGGAGGGCGGGTCAGAGGTCAAGCGGCGGGCCGAAAAAGGGTCAGGGGTCAGGTCCGTCCCGAGAGCAAGTCAGAAGCCACACACCAGCCGGAGAAGAGGAAGAGGTCGCGTGCGGCCAGAGGGCAGGTCAGGGGTCATATGAGAGGGCAGATACGGGTTGCAGGTCTCACAGAAGCCAGATGCAGGTCCGAGGTGCAAACCCAGGCCAAGCATGTTAGCGGTCGGTCAGGTTAGCAGATTTTCGGCAGTGAAACTGCTCATGGAATACAAAAGTAACGGCACACCTTGCCACTTCATTTCTAACGAAAAATCTCCTTTGGCACTGCCCACTTCTACTGGCCTTTCACGCACCAGGCCAGCCACACCTCACCGACCTTTGCGAGAAAATCTGAGCAAACACTACGAACGTCTCGCACATCAAACCGCGGCGGATTCCACAGCTGGCAGTCACCACTGGCAGGCCGCCCTGAGCGCGGCTCGGCACCCCGAGCGCGGCTCGGCGCCCCGAGCGCGGCTCGGCACCCCGGGCGCGGCTCGGCGCCCCGAGCGCGGCTCGGCGCCCTGAGCGCGGCTCGGCACCCCGAGCGCGGCTCGGCGCCCGGCCGGGATCGGCACTCACCCGGCCGCTACTGGCGGCCTCCTGCAGCTGCCGCTCCAGGGCGTCCACCTGCTGCCGGTACGTGTCCAGCTGGCGCTCCAGGTCGCCGCCGCGCTGCCGCTCGATGGCCGTCAGCGACTCGGTCGTCTCCGACTCGTACGCGTCCAGCACGCGCTTGCAGCTGTCGCGCTCCTGGCGGACGGCGCGCGCGCACGGTCGGCGGCTGGCTGACGGCGCCCGGGTGGGCTGGCTGCTGGTGCGTGGAGGTGCCTAGCTCTATGCGCGCGGTCTCGCGCTCAAGTTGTTCAGTGCGTGATGAAACGACACCCGGGCGCCATGCCCGGTTCGAGATAAAAACGCAATGCAATCATAATACGTTATAAAATGTCACTGTACTTGTGTCAACTTCAACCCGAAACGAGAAGCACCATGCAATCATTGTACGGGATAAGCTTGCATATTCCTGTGTCGGTGGCTGGACGGCGTCAGAGGTGAAATGGAAGTCGTGCGCCAATGAGGTGGTACATGCAGCGCCGCGCGAGACGGAACGGTGGCGACGAACGTGACGTGTCAACCGCCGCGCACAGCGACAGCGGCGGCGGTTACCATGGTGACGAGCGTGAGCTTGCGCTGCAGCTTGCGCAGCTGCACCTGGCCCTCCAGCGCCGAGCGGTTGTGCTCGGCCTGCTCGGCCTTGAACCTCTCCAGCTGCGATTGCAGGTTGCTGCTGCGCGCCTCGGCCGCCGACAGCCTGGCCACGGCCGGACACACGTCACCAGCAAGATCACCCGGCGCTGGCCAAGGCCGACACCATCGGCGTCGGCAGTGACGCCAGGAATGCACACTGAATGGACGCTTTATAGCCCACGGAACGGTCCAGCCTTGCACTTATTTTGCTGGGAGAGATGAGACATAACGCTTTGAATGGCCCCCAAACATTAAGCACGTCTATTATCAGTTGGTTATCTTATCACTCCGCGTACTTGCAAGAGAAAAGGAATCTTTAACAAACAACGCTCAGTCCTACAAGACAATGAGACCATTCATGATGCTGAGCCGAGGCACCAGCCGAGCTACGCTGGCTTGGCAATTGCAGATAGTAAAAACTGGCCCCTGAGACTACGCGGTAACGACTACGAGCAAGCCACGCCACAGCAAGGGCGACCGTGCATCAGGCACGGGGAAGCAACGCCGAAAATCGGCGACAAGGGGGGGGGGGGGGCGCCGCTCCGTCCGCGGCGGCTGGTGAGACTCACTCGGCACGCGCGGCGCCGCGGCTCTCCTCCAGCAGCAGCTGGCTCTGGCGCAGCTCGGCCATCACGCGGCCCAGCTGGTCCGCCGAGGTGACGTCAGAGCCGGCCGCCCGCTGCCAGTCTGCCACCTGCTGCCGCGCCTCGGCGCTCTGCGGAGAGGCGTACGGGGACTGTACACACCGGCACACAGACGCACAGGGACTGTGGACACCGGCGCACAGACGCACAGGGACTGTGGACACCGGCGCACATAGACGTACGAGAACTGTAGCCACCGGCACACACAGACGTACGGAGACTGTAGACGCCGGCACACACAGACGCACGGGGACTGTGGACACCGGCGCACACGGACGTACGGAGACTAGACGCCGGCACACACAGACACACGGGGACTGTGGACACCGGCGCACACATATGCACGGAGACTATAGACGCCGGCACACACAGACGTACGGAGACTAGACGCCGGCACACACAGACGTACGGGGACTGTCGACGCTGGCACACACAGACGTATGGGGACTAGACGGACTGTAGACACAGGCACACGCAGACGTACGGGGACTAGACGCCGGCACGCACACACAGACGCAAGGGGGGAGTATAGATGCCGGCACACGCAGACGCACGGGGGGAATGTAGACACCGGCACACACAGACGTACGGGGGGGGGGGGGGGGAGGAGATGTAGACACCGGTACACACACAGACAAACGGGGACTGTAGACACCAGCACACACACAGACGAACGGGGACTGTAGACACCAGCACACGCCAACGTTCAAGAGACTGCAGACATGCCTCGGGCACATGTGGCTTCAAGGGCACGCATAGCTCGACATGGACGTAGGGTACTTCACACACGGACGGGAGTGGCCTGATATGGGCGCGGGTCACTTCAGACTTAGCCACAGACGACCACCGTCGCGGCCACAAGTACTGACGCCTGGGGACCGGCTCACCAGCTGCTCGCCTCACCTCTGCCTGGGCGGTGGCCAGCTCAGCCTGCAGCTGATCGAACCTCTCCACCTTGGGCTGCAGCACCGCCAGCTGCTCCTCCAGCACCAACGTCCGGTCGACCATGTGCCTGCCGCGCGCGGCCAGCCCCGTCAGCTCCCCCGGCCGGCACGCGGCTCGCTGAGAGCTCATGCGCGCTCTCGGCGCGCTCGCCGCCGAGTCGGAGCGCGTGCGAGACGACAGTCGCGCCTAAGCGGGCTAACGGCGCCGACGGCTGGTCACCAGCGGCACACGAGTCGTGGCTTCCGCGGCTCCGTGCGTAGACCACGCATACCCCGCCGACGGCGTGGGGTATAGTCGGTTTATGGTCCATATAGTCCATACCCCGCGCCGGTGGAGTGGAGCGCTATCTATTGAGCGCCACTCCTCTGTCGTACCTGACGTACTGCTATATGTATATATTTGTCGTTCTAGGGTGCGCCAACTACACTGGTTATTTGCACCCGGCTCTGACCACAGCGCACTTATGTCTCAAAAGAGTCGATCCATAGAACGGTGCATTACACTGTTCCTGGCCCGGCCTGGCCCGGTTCGGTCCACGGGGGTGAAAGACAACCACGGCGACGCCGCAGCTCTGACCAAGGAGGTGAGGGACAGGGGTGAGGGACACAGGGGCAGGGACGACGGGAGGGCCAGGGCGAGAGACAGAGTGAGGGACAGGGGAGGACAGACGGAAAGAGGGGGGTGGATAGAGCAAGGGACAGAATGAGACACGGGGAGGGACTGGGGGAGGGACAGGGGAATGGACAGACGAAAAAATGGGGAAGAATGAGGTGGGACAGGGGAGGGACAGGCGGAAACCGGGAGAGGATGGGGTGATGATGAGAGACAGGAGGAGAGACAGGGGGAGGTACAGACTGAACCAGGGGGAGGAATGGGGTAGGACAGAGGGACGGACTGGGGAAGGCACGGGCGAAGCGAGAGAGGAAGGACAGACGGAGGGGCAGACGATACAAGAGGGCGGGGAGACGGGAGACGGCCAGGTTTGACCAGATCCCCACGCGGCACCCAGCTGACCTCAACGACTTGAGTTCGGCGCTCATGGCTCGGTTCTGCGCCTCCAGCTGCGGGAACTGCGCCAGCCGCTCCCTCATCAGCGTGCCCAGCTTGGCGTTCTCCTCGTTGGAGGCGATGGTGTTCTCCAGCTCCTGGGAGCAGGGGCAGCGGCGTCGGCGTCATCGACGGGCGTGATGCCTCTCGGCTCTCAGACGCGCCTCCCCAGCCTGTCGCCTCGATCGGCTCCATATCTAACACGGGGCCGAGCGTCTGAGGTGCAGTGAGGGCCTCAGCGCTGCACGTGGAGCCCGTCTGAGGTGTAGTGAGGGCCTCAGCGCGGCACGCGGAGCATCTCTGAAGGTGTAGCGAGACCCTCAGCGCGGCACGAGGAGCCCGTCTGAGGTGTAGTGAGAAGCTTAGCGCGACGAGCGGAGCCCGTCTGAGGTGTAGTGAGAGCCCCAGCGCTGCACGCGGAGCCCGTCTGAGGTGTAGTGAGAGCCTCAGCGCTGCACGCGGAGCCCCTCTGAGGTGTAGTGAGAGCCTCAGAGCGGCACGAGGAGCCCCTCTGAGGTGTAGTGAGAGCCTCAGCGCTGCCCGCGGAGCACGTCTGAGGTGTAGCGAGAGCCTCAGAGCGGCACGTGGAGCCCGTCTGAGGTGTAGTGAGAGCCTCAGCGCTGCACGTGGAGCCCGTCTAAGGTGTAGTGAGAGCCTCAGCGCTGCACGTGGAGCCCATCTGAGGTGTAGTGAGAGCCTCAGCGTGGCGCGCGGAGCCCATCTGAAGTGTAGTGAGAGCCTCAGAGCGGCACGCGGAGCCGTCTGAGGTGTAGTGAGAGCCTCAGCGCTGCACGTGGAGCCCGTCTAAGGTGTAGTGAGAGCCTCAGCGCTGCACGCGAAGCCCGTCTGAGGTGTAGTGAGAGCCTCAGCGTGGCGCGCGGAGCTCATCTGAGGTATAGCGAGAGCCTCGGAGCGGCACGCGGAGCCGTCTGAGGTGTAGTGAGAGCCTCAGCGCTGCACGTGGAGCCCGTCTAAGGTGTAGTGAGAGCCTCAGCGCTGCACGTGGAGCCCGTCTGAGGTGTAGTGAGAGCCTCAGCGTGGCGCGCGGAGCCCATCTGAAGTGTAGTGAGAGCCCCAGAGCGGCACGCGGAGCCGTCTGAGGTGTAGTGAGAGCCTCAGCGCTGCACGTGGAGCCCGTCTGAGGTGTAGTGAGAGCCTCAGCGTGGCGCGCGGAGCTCATCTGAGGTGTAGTGAGAGCCTCAGAGCGGCGCGAGGAGCCCGTCTGAGGTGTAGTGAGAGCCTCAGCGTGGCACGCGGAGCATCTCTAAGGTGAAGTGAGAGCCTCAGGGCTGCACGCGGAGCCCGTCTGAGGTGTAGTGAGAGCCTCAGCGTGGCACGCGGAGCGTCTCTAAGGTGAAGTGAGAGCCTCAGGGCTGCACGCGGAGCGCGTCTGAGCCCGGAGAGTGGCCGCTCACTCGACAGATGAGTGAATTCAGGGATGTGAATGGCTGCGGGTACAGAGCACAAACCGAGCAGACCACGGGATCCACGCGAGTCTACCTCCTCGTAATGGGCTAATGGTGACCGTTACGCGACAGGTCGAGGGTTATCAGCGGGATCAGACGCTCATTATGGCTTGACAACAATCTGCGAATAGCACTGACCTTTCCTACTAAGTTCGGGGTGACCGACCTTGATCCGCAGCCGGTCAATGACTGACCCCGAGCCACAACGGCTCACTAACTAACCTTGACCCCACGGCAGCCAGTGACTGACCCTGACCCGAAGCTGGATAGTGAGTGACCTTGAGCCGCAGCTGGACGGCAACTGACTTTGGCCCGCAACTGGACAGTGACTGACTTTGGCCCGCAACTGGAAAGTGACTAACCTTGGCCTTCAGCCGGGCAGTGACTGACCTTGACCCGCAGTCGGCCGGTGACTGACCTTGACCCGCAGCTGGGCGGTGTGCAGCTGCAGTCGCAGCCGGTCCTCCTCCAGGCCGCCGTCGGAGGCCGGCCGGGCCTCGCGTCGGTCGCGCTCCTCCTGCAGGCTGTCCAGCGCCGCCTGGCGGGCCGTCTCCGCCTCCAGCAGCCGGCCGACAGCCGCCGCCAGCTCCCGGCGCGACTCCGCCAGCTCCTGTCCGGCCAGAGCACGGCTGAGGGCGGCGCGCGTCACGACAGCGGAGGGCCGCCCGCGGGGTAGCGGGACGGCGGAGCGGGTCGCACGCGCCAGGGGACACCCTCACAGCGCCGGTTTGGGGTTGCGACTGCTCCCTGGCGAGCGCCCGCGTCAGCCGCACGGCTCCTGTCCTGACCACGCACCGGCTCTCGGCCCGGCAGCGCCGTATACCGGCGCTCGCGGCGTCCAGAGCTGACCCCGGCGGGAGCCAGGGACCGCTGCCGGACGGCGAGCCGGGCGTCCGCTGTCCCTGCTGGCGGGCGACGCGAGGCACCGCGTCTCCGCCGCCATCCGACCACGGGTGACTCCGTCAGACGGAGGGACGGCGGGGGACCGACCCGGACGCCAGCCGGGTGTCAGCAGCCGCCACCCGCCTCATCGGCCCGCACGGCGGCCGCCCAGCAACCTCTGAGAGTACCGTACCGGGGACTATCGACCTCTGAGAGCCCCACAACTGTGACCAGTGACCTCTGAGAGCCCCGCACATGTGATCACTGACCTCTGAGACCCTCACCAGAGACCAGCGATCTCTGAGAGACCCGCACCTGTGACCACTGACCTCTGAGAGCCACGCACCTATGACCACCGGCCTCTGAGAGCCCCATAACTGTGACCACTGACCTCCAAGAGCCCCGCACCAGTGACCACCGACCCCTGAGAGCCCCGCACCAAGGATCACTGACCTCTGAGAGTACCGTACCAGGGACCAATGACTTCTGAGAGCCCGGAGATGTGACCAGCAACCTCTGAAAGCCCCACATCTGTGACTACTGACCTCTGAGAGCCACGCTCCTGTGACCACTGACCTCTGAGAGCCCCACATCTGTGACCACTGACCTCTGAGAGCCACGCTCCTGTGACCACTGACCTCTGAGAGCCGGTGCGCGGCGCGGTCGGCGCGCTGCTGGGCGGCCAACTTTTCCTGGTCGCAGCTGACCTGGCACGAGCGCAGCCGCGAGCGCAGCTCGGCCAGCTCTGACTCCAGCCGGTCGCGATCAGCCCGCTGCCGCTCCACCTCGGCCCTCAGCTCGGCGCTCTGACCAGCGGCGCGCGCACGTCAGTTGATTCCACGCGCGGACACATGACGCCCTTCTTCCCCCCCCCCCCTTTCACATGGCGTGCGGCATATGACAGCACATGGCAGCACGCGGTCAAAGCTGCCGCGAAGCTGCCAACGGCCACGCAAGTGCTCCCCTACAATAGCCGTCTGAGCCCTCCCATTACACCGCCCTGCACTCTACCATCACACCATGTGCATCCTCTCATCCTGCCTGCCCGTGCTGCACCATCACAATCCGAACTATTCCGACACTTGTGCAGTCACGCCGAATATTGATCTCACACATCCCATGATCTGCCCAAAACCTCACATGACACCTGTCCAGACGACCGCTTGACACTTGTCGGGACGCTTCCATGTTACCCATCCAGACGCTGTCACGACTCACGCTCGGACGTGCTCACTGCACGCGTCCGTACGCTCCTCTGGCCCCGCCCTCCGTCACCGGCCGACCGATCCTCGGGCGGCGGGCGGAGCGTCCCTGGGCGGTAGCGAGCGCGGCGGCGGGCCCTCACCTGCTCCTCGGCGCGCTCCGTCCGGCGTCGCAGCTCGCCCCGCTCCGTCTCCATCAGCAAGCGAGCCTCGCGGTCGCGCGCCTCGGCGGACTGCCGGCGCCGGGGCGGGGCGCGGTCAACGAACGGCAAGGCATAAGGCGGCACGGCACGGCACGGTCGGCGCACGACACGGTCAGCACACGGCACGGCACGGCACGCCGCGGTCAGCGCACAGCGCGGCATAAGGTGGCAAGGCACGGCACGGCCGGCGCGCGGCATGGTCAGCACACGGCACGGTCGGCGCGCGGCATGGCGCGGTACGGCACGGCATGAAACGGCACAGCACGGACGACCAGTTAGATGCAAGACCAGGCCCCACTCGCACGCTACCGTTGCGGAAGGAGAGGGGGGGACGGACTGAGAGGAGGGGGGAGGGGGGACTGAGACAGCCGGCCGGCGAGGCACGGATCGGCGCACGCCCAAGCCTCGGAGTCGGAGAGGAGCTGAGGACGAGGACGCCCCTTGAGCAACTGAGCAGATGGGCAGTTTGAGCAGTTGGACAGCAGGGCAGATGGGTAGGCAATTCTCATCTATCACAACCACAATGCAGGGTGTGACGGAAGCATTTACACACTACCCCAGTCACATCATTACATGACAAGGAACTGTACATGCCTATCCAAATTGCTTCTACAGTTCTACATATTCATTGTCATGGCTACCAAAGTCAATACAATTAGCATTGGCATGGTAAGCATCGAGCAATATCCATAGCTACATTATACCAATTGCAAGTGATGCTACCGTTATCCCATCCGCAATACATCCGTATATCCCCATTGCCACCAGATGTATACCACAATTACTGTGTCCATCTAACCATATCACAAATACTGCTGTCCTCACTACCAGTCCGACGGGGCGTCCCACCTGCAGTTTGGCCTGCAGCCGGGCCACATGGTTCTGCGAGTCGAGCAGGGCGGCCGCCTGGTGCCTCGCGCGCCTCTCGCTGGCTGTGGGCACAGGGCAGAAACATGTCGAGTCGACTCAAATCGACTCAAACTGAGGTCGACTCGTCACTAACCGGCCCGCCCCGGCGTCGCGGCACGCACGCACGCCCGCACGCCCGCAAGCACCGGCGCTCCGTCCGCGACACGGGCCGCCACCCGAGCGTGCCTCACAGAGGACGGTCCGCCGCGGGCTCCGGCCGGCCCGAGAGGCCGACTGTGGTCTGCAGCGGCCACAGACAGCAGCTGTCCACCAGAGGGCCCCGGCCGGCCCCAGGGACGGACTGTGGTCTGCGGCGGCCACAGACAGCGGCTGCCCACCAGAGGGCCCCGGCCGGCCCCAGGGACGGACTGTGGTCTGCGGCGGCCACAGACAGCGCCTGTCCACCAGAGGGCCCCAGCCGGCCCCAGGGACGGACTGTGGTCTGCGGCGGCCACAGACAGCGGCTGTCCACCAGACAGCCCCAGCCGGCCTGAGAGGCGGACTGTAGTCTGCGGCGGCCACGAACGACAGAGCTCGGCCGGCACTGGCCCAGCCGCTGCGGCGCCCACGAGGCAGCTAGTGACGGGCTGCCGCCATGAGAGGCGCCGAGCAATCTTGGACCAGGAGGATGATTGGAGGTGGGTTGCAAAGGATGCCACAGGCATTGTTGACAGGTACAAAGATGTGGTGAAAGATGGGGAGAGGAGATTTCCATTGGCACCAATTCCCAAACCCACCTACCAGCATCTTGGGTGTATCTTCTCACCACATCATAAGTGACATTTGTACAAACCTACCCACTATGATGCACAGGATGTGGCAGGGTAGATTAAACAGATCTGCATTTGTGGTATTGGTTCACATTCTTGTGCTCCAACTTTTCACACATCTGTCTTTTGTAACCAGGCAAAGCCCTGGCATGCATTAGTAGCACAACATAAAAGAGGGTGTCACCATAAACCACATCTGATCCAGTCATACATCATACAATAGATGAACTGAACATGCTTGACAAACAAACAGATGAACTAGTGATGAAAACGATGGAAATTACTGCTGCACAACTCATGCTGTCATGTCATCAGCTATGTAACAGAAAAGCAATGTCACAGAAATGTTATGGCAAGCCAGTGCTAGCACTCTCCCAGGAAATCCCTTACACATAGTGCACATTCACAGGGATAGCTTAAATATGTACCTTATGCAATCAAACATGTCACATAGATAACTAAACATTCATTAAAAGGCACATTTTCAGCATGGACCTAACATATGTCCTTAAACTTTGATATATGAAAGGATGGCTCCAGCCCAGGACTATACCTATCAGCAAGTGACTTTTCTTTTAAAAAATGTCCAAGTTTAAAAGGCATCAGCCCAATTCATGTGGGCTGTAATGTGGTTAATGAATCATAAACCAAATATAAGCTTCTAAAATGCAGACCCATCTGAGCAAATTAAGATACCTAATTTTCCAGGATCAAGCTTGATCTTCTTTTCAGCTGATTTTTCATTTTCAAAATCCTGGCTATCACTTAGAGAAGAATGTCTCTGTCCACCATTTTCATCCAAGCTTGATGTAAAAACCATGTGCAATTGTTGCTGACTAAGATGACTCTGTGTGAACAGTGAACTTTTCATTGACTGGCTTGCCATCTTCACACTGGCATGGGTAAAGGCTTCTTCAGAAGTCAACTTCTGTAAGAAAAGAACAGAAAAATGCATAAGTCATACATGTCACAACCAGACTGTATATCTTCAATAACACTGAGGGGCATGCAGGACATATTGTCCAGCCACAGAACATGGCCACCCAGTGGATGTGATGCTGGGATGATTACACAAGCTTATGAAATGTACATAAGACAGAAGTAATAGCCATATTCCTCAGTGACAGACCAGAATGATGATGTAATGAATGGAGATGTGAATAATGTTCCTCACATGCATGTAAGAGCCTATGTGAGCTTGTGAAGCAGTGTAGTCTGATTGCCAGATGGTATGGATAATTCCGCATTACTTTGTCGGCTTTAACCGCAAGAAAACAAGGCATCACCCGGGCTGCCTCCCCATTCCTTTCCTGGACACAATCCCTATCAAAAACCCAGAATATCACATGCTGACAATGAGTGAATAGAAAGGAAAGCTTTTGGAAGCTACAAATGTGCCTCGCACAACATAGGGCAATGGGTAGCAGTACCCCTTTACCACTACAGATGTTGGTCACCCCAAAGCCCTAATCACTTGCCAACTGCCGCCGACATCCACTGCTGCTGTTACACATTCAACCAAGATTGTAAACATTCAACGGAAATCCTGGCGCGCTGCCTGGCGTGCGCTGGAACAGCCGCACTTTTGCCGGGGTCTGCTAAAACACTAGATACTTACAGAGAAAGCAGCGAAATAAATAATAAGCCCGGTGCGTAACCACCCAACATTTTGGAGGGTGTCTACGCACTGCCAAATGAATATTAGAACGATGTGGAATCTTTGTAACAACACATGGCAATGAACAGAGCATATTTAGAGTAAAAATGGTCAGTTTGATATTGAAAGATGGAAAGCGAGTGTGACGATGTAGCGTATAGGGAAGGCGTTCAAACAGCTCGTGAGCTATGAGCTACGGGTCGTGACCAGGGCAGCAGCCAGAGCCTTGTCAAGGGGTATAAAGGGTTGACCAAGGGCCCCTGATAACAAAATGCCCCCCCCCCCAAAAAAAACGCTGGATATGGGCCATTTATCATTGAGGCCATTTTTAGTTATGAAATATACATGATATATTTACATATATACACATGTATATATAGAGAGAGATACACAACATTTACGCATATATATATGTATATATATATATATATATATATATATATATATATAAATATGCGTATATATTTATATGATGTACATAGATGACACATTTTACCTTCTGCACCTGGATTATATATCTGACACCACCGCGAGATCAATTCACACTTAAGTTTACAGTAAATAAACTGACAAATCCATGGGTGTGCGAACAGTGGGGTGGGGACGGGGGCAGTGGAGTCATGGCCTCCCTCCACTTTTCAAAGTGGGGGACAACAGTGTTAACTCCTCCCCCCCCCCCCCCCACACACACTTTTCAGATTAAGGTTGTGTTTGGCTTACGTTTGCACTACATTAAACATACGTGGCGATTTACATATTTCACTAGCCATATTCCTCAAGATGTGTAATCCCTTTCGTTTGCTCAATGACCACCGTTTAGTATCACAGCCGTAAAGTCGACGCCGCGCGCCCTATGGAGACTGCAACGCCAGGCGTCGAGGCTGTTGTTGCTACGACTTGCGAGCGCACGTGTTCAAAACCATATCACATTACTTTTTTTAGCGATAATCAATCCTGCCCGAAGCTTGAGCATTTTAAGATGAACATGGATTAGCCATGTTGATACAAATTTGGGATCCCCTCTCATCTACAATCTATGTTTAGAGGGTCCGGACTGTTTTTAAAGAACACGGACAAATGTGGAGTTGTAGTCTATGTGACAATTATTGGACTACCTGCGACGACCAGGGATGTTGCTGCCTCAATGAGGGTTTCTGTGCTCACGCGGGACCAACTGCGCGGGTCAGGAGACCCCCGTGTCAGGGAAGGGAACAATGCGATATGATATATCCTTTTTTGGCATTCGGACCGACCAGGAGATCCTGCCCCTGTCGCCAAAATGACTGCCAGAAGACGCTCCGCGACGGGACGGAATGGCCCTTCAGCGCTTGACCAGAAACGGTGATGTACCCCTGGTGTTCTACTCAAGGGGTTCTTTGCCCGGAAGGAAATAAGGGGTCTCATTGTTGTTGAGAAGAGTGGGGGGTCTATTTAATGTTGAATAAAGTGGGTCTAAATGAGCTTCAAAAGCGAACAAAGCCATCCTATGTTTGCCTAAAACCGTCCATTTTTCAGAGTGGATTAGTAAAACAAATAACGCCAAAAGGTTTGAATAGGCCCGCCCGCAGCCTCAAGAGCAAGGGCAAGGATGGCCTGAGCTGCAACTTCCGTAAAACCGAACGGCTTCGGCCACTTCAATTGTCACCAGACGGTGGGCCTCGTGTAAATATGTCTCCTGGATAGATAAGCAGTTACAGAAAAACGAAAAATGGGGTTTATACCTTTACTCTTTCAGTTCAACCACCAGATTTGATTTGATGTCATAAAGGGTTCAAAGGTACCTTTTTTGTAGCGTTATCATTTTCGTCCACCCGCTAACAACAGCTCAGTATTAATTACCGTGCCAATGCTGCGCGGCCTACGGAGACTGCAACGCCTGAGGTCGAGGTTTTTGTTCCTAGGATTCCCGAGTGTGCATGCGCAAGATTACGTCACATAATTTGTATTGCTAAGCAGTTAAGGCGTTAAAAAGTTTTTCAGTACTGTCATCATTTTCTTCCACCCGCGGACCAAGGCTAAAAGTTAGCCACTGGGCTCACGCTTTGCGGACAATGGAGACTGCAACGCTTGTTGGCGAGATTTTGTTGCGAAGATTTGCGAGCGCGCTTGCTAAAAAACCTCATTACGTAAATTGTATCGCTAATCGATTCTGACTGAATGGTGAACATTTGCAGAGAAAGGTGGCTTGGCCATGTTAATACACATTGTTGACCACTCGAGCTGCAATTAAATTTTCATCTTAAAATTTTGATAAAACATCGATCTGAAATACCTTCTGTAGTTACATGCTAATAATACTGTCTATATACTAATAATACTGTCCTTATTGTCTGTAGAACCCACATAAAAAAATTTGAAAAAGCTTCTGAACTCATTAGTTCAGAAAGTTGCCTACGTTGAAGGATGAGCAATGAAATGTCCGTTACGCCAGTTCATACCAAAGGCAGGTTTCTTCCCGGGGGCTATTTTTCTGCGGTGGTGTGGAGTAAGGAAAGATATTGGGAAAAAGATGCTGCTGCAGGTGTCCAACATATGGTTTACACACCAATAAGTAGGAATGCTGATCCAGAAATATGTAACAAAGCAGCCATGCGATCAGTTCACAGCCAGTCATGCGGGAGACGGCCGGACCAGGGCAGCGGCCGCCGACGGCGGGCGAAAGCAGGGCCCAGATAAGAAACATGTGACAAACGGGCCTTCATTATTTGGCTTTATGTGTTTAAATATACAGTTTTACGCTTTTTGTAACGTTGTTTTTGGCAATTTCAGGCTTCCGAAATTGTTTTCGCCTAAAATATTGCGACAAGTCTTTTCTCTTGGAAAGCAACCAGCCAAATGAAGGCACATGAAAAACCTGTCGGATTGTTGGCCATTGATTCACTTTCGAAATTCTCACCAGCTTATGTCCAGGCCGTATTTTGGCATCTACCCTGTCGAGGCAGATGGCTCCTTAATGAGCCAAAATGGCTACCCGCTCATAGAATTGCGCCTCCCCATGCAAGACAATGTTTAAAAGGACGAATAATGTTGGGAAGCTGGATGAACTTAGTTGCCGAATGACGCAGACGAGTCGAAAAGGCAAGGTTGTGCACCAGTGATAAACAGCTCTAGATGCATATCTAGCATGGCAGCCATGGTATTTTAATAAAGAGCTATAACAATCTCCATCTCTATCCCCCTCCCCCCTCCCCGATTGTCGGGCTCGCTTTCCAGAAAAAGTTCCTAAAGTACACCCTGAGCTTGGCCTCCCACTTTTTGAAACGTTCCTACACCTATGGACAAAGCGTGTGTTAAATGGCTGCATTAAATAAATCGCCAGCGCTCTTCATTTTGCAGTGGTCTATTAGGCTCTTTGAAACGGATGGAACCCAGAAATTTTGTCAGAATGTTATCTGGGTTTACGGAGGTAACAAGGATTCCGGAAAGGTAAAATAAAGACCAAAATGGGTCAACAATTTGTGTGAACATGGCCAAGCCATGTCTATCGGGATACGTTCAACATTCAGCCAGAAATGATAAGTGGTAAAAAATTATGCAATGTAGTTTCGAGCATGCATGCTCGCATATCTTAACAACAAAAAACTCGACGCCGGGCGTTGCAGTCTCCTTAGGCCGCACAGGGTCGGCCTCACGGCTAATATTCGGCCGTGGCCAACAGGTGGACGAAAATGGTGACGCATCTGAAAGAAGTACCTTTGAACGCCTTTAAACATCGGATCGTTTATTTGGAGACATTCCGGGTGTATATTTCACCTGCGCGGTTTTTAGTTTGATGACGATACCGTATTGCTCTTTACAGCACCGCGCAGTGGTGCTGGAATCTGGTGTTGGAACTGGAAGAGTGAGGTAAAATCTATATTCCCTGTGTTGCTGAAACTGTTAATATGTATATAGAGGACAACGTCAAATGTTTAAAAAAGATTATCCCAGTGTAATCTATGAACTGCTCGAATTAATTCTGAAAGACGTTCATGAACATTGTTTTACGATGGTCATTGGGCTCAGACGGACGTGGGGCTCATCAGCGCCTCAGACAGACATGGAGCCGAGTGTTCGGTGTTCGTGGTCTCCGACCGATTTAGACATCCGCATTGTCTCAGGGGTTCCTCAAACGGCGCAAGAGGACTCGCGACTGATATTTCAGACTACGACCCCGCGGGCCGCGATTTTTTATGTGACATGCAGCCAGTCCTTCGGGTCCTTATGCCCTCCACCCGGGCCTTTGATCTTCGGTTCCGGTGGCCCGCCCGGGCCCCTCTTCGGAGCT